GACGCTTCAGGTCGCATGCGGTAGCCTAGACAGATGCTGTGAGAGGGGTGGAGCTTGGAGGTGGGGCATGAGTGAAGCAGAGAGGGTGGGGGAGTGGCGTGAAACCTGTTTTTCTTCAAATTTTCAGTCGAAGTCTGCTCTCTTCTCAATGTTACAGACTGCAGCTTTAAGATAAAAAAACATGGTTTTCCTCTTTCATTATGCTCCATCCGGGAGTCCTTAAGTGGAAAGGTTTTAGTTTCACCTGTTTTCATTTCGTAAAAACTCTTCTTTAAGGAACCTTTTGCTATCTGATTATTCATTGATTAACCATACAAATAATTGACTGATTAATCACTTTGCAGATTAATTTTATTGTTCCAATAGTTCTAATTTGAATCTTGAGAAAAGTTCTCATCTGACTCTTCTCCTGTAATGTAAAACAGCAGTTTTTAAGCCTTCAGGTGTGCTGTAACTTCAGGACATGTCAGGTCCCACACATCTCAAACAAATAGATAAATAAATTAGCTCCTTGGCAGCTAAGTTGTCCAGAATCCTGTTGTTGGACACCTGGGGTAGAAAATCTTCTGATTTCTCTGTTTTTTATTTCAGTCCGTTCAGCAGTCCGGCAGGTTTTTTGTTGTGTTTTACTAGAATTGTGCTGCTCAAGGTGACTGCATGTTTGAGTAACGCGGCTAGCTTAATTTTGATATTTTTTTGACTTTTGTTTTTACATTTAGACACCAGTAAATCCTTCTGATTGCATGCACCATTTTTATGATGAATCACAACGTCCTACCGGCGTATTATTATTTTTTATTTTTGTCTTTTAAGCTTTGTTTTGGCTTAATTTGTTAGTAAATGTAGCCTTTTTTCTTGTTTATATTGTTCTACATTGTTAAAACATTTTACAGTACAGTATTTTATTGTTTATCTTTTAACTCTTCACTATTATGTTATTCTTATCATTTTTTCCAAGTCCACATTTGTGTGACCATTTTTCTATAATCTTTATGCTGCTGTAAACACCAGAATTTCGCCAATAAAGGGATTTTCTATTGTATTCTATTCTATTTCATCCTATTCTATTCTAATCCATTCTATTCTTTCTGTGTATGTTTACGGTACAACATTATGTAGCTTGGATTACGTCACTGGGCACGCTTACAATCGGTCACCAAGCCAAAGCTACAGAGACGAGCAAGTGAGGAACTTCAAGCCTAGTTGTGAAAAATGAAGTCCAAGATCAAGTGTATGAAGATGTTTGATTCCTAGAAGGACAAAACTGGAGTTGCTTTGGGAAAACAGTCTGACCGTTAGAGTTCACTGAAGCTGCAGCTAAAGCTCATTAAGCATTCTGATGTTGCTGGGAAGTTCAGAGACACGTTAGGAGAGGTCCTTGCTAATGGTGCTACTGGTGTTAGCAATGCTTTTAAATAGGGGTGTGGGGAAAAAATTTATTTGGCGATATATCGTGATTATCAGGTGCCACATTTTATATTGATCTTTCGGTTCCTAAAATAAAAAAAAAATAATTAAACGAAACATTTTAACCTTAAACAGTGAGGGACAATGATCTTCCTCTGCGCCGCTGCTCTGGCAGATGGCGCTGTGGAGCCCTTATGATGTGCGGCGCAGCACCATTTCTCCAGTTGAGGCAGTTACAGCGGAAGACTTGGACCGACTCAAACCTCAAAATGGCAATGGATGCCAAAAAAACTAAATGATTAATATTTTTATGATGCATACAGCACTTGCTTTTTATTTATACATTTAATTTTGATAGCTGAGAAAAATCTCGCAGTACATAGTGATATGGCAATATCATGATACTTGTTACC